ACCTCATTCTTGATGCAGATGATCCTTTAAGACAAGAGCTACAGAACTAACTTTTTTAAAATTTGAAAGAAAACCAGATTCAAAAATACCCCGGTAATTTAAATTTCCCAAAGGGTTTACCCAAAGCAAGCAACAAGAAAGTGTAAATCAAACTAATTTTTTTTATACAATACATGAATTTGCATTGCTGGTTTGCTTGTCCAAATACTCAACCAGAGTTAAAGTTCTGCAGTTAAAACCTCCGAAAACATTTCCCCTTACATATAAGAAAGCAAATTCTATTGGATGAGACATAAATACACAATATTTAAAGAAATTTGGGGGGGTTTCCAGTTAAGATCCTTACCTGACTACAAGATTACTACAACTTCAACTTTTTAAATAATTTATTCTTAAATACCAGAAGTCTCTGTCAGACTGAAGCTCTACTGGTTTGTACTTATAGCAAAAGAAGAGAAAAGTACTTACTAGGCAGTTGGGAATTGAAACTTTTCAAAGCAATTAATAGAAAAATGATCCTTGATTAATCCTTTATGTTTTAGTGTAGTCTACTTGCATGCCACATTACATTATAATCAGACCAAAACTGTATTTGGAGTAGCATTTTGAGAGACATTTTTAAAAAAATTTCTATTTTTAGTAACCGTGGCAACACCGTTCATTGAGGGAAAAACTATACACAGAATTATGTATATTAGTGTAGTCTACTTGTGTGCCAAGTTATATTGAAATCAGACCAAAACTGTAGGAGGTGTAGCATTTTGAAATAATTTCACAGAAATTTCTATTTATAGTAACCACAGCAACACCGTTCATCGAAATCAAAAACCGATACACAGAATTATGTATCTTAGTGTAGTCTACTTGTGTGCCAAGTTACATTGAAATCAGAATAAAACTGTATTTGGAGTAGCATTTTGAGAGTACATGTATTAAACAGAAATTTCTATTTTTAGTAACTGTGGCAACACCGTTCATTGAGGTGAAAAAATACACATAGAATTATGTACCTAAGTGTAGTCTACTTGTGTGCCAAGTTATATTGAAATCAGACCAAAACTGAAGGAGGAGTAGCATTTTGAAAGAATTTCACAGAAATTTCTATTTTTAGTAACCATGGCAACACCGTTCATCGAATCAAAAAACCCATACATAGAATTATGTATCTTAGTGTAGTCTACTTGTGTGCCAAATTAAATTGAAATCAGACCAAAACTGTATTTGGAGTAGCATTTTGAAAAATTTCACAGAAATTTATATTTTTAGTAACCACGGCAACACCGTTCATCAAAATCAAAAACCGATACACAGAATTATGTATCTTAGTGTAGTCTACTTGTGTGCCAAGTTATATTGAAATCAGACCAAAACTGTAGGAGGAGTAGCATTTTGAAAAAATTTCACAGAAATTTCTATTTTTAGTAACCACAGCAACAACGTTCATCGAAATCAAAAACCGATACACAGAATTATGTATCTTTGTGTAGTCTACTTGTGTGCCAAGTTATACTGAAATCAGACCAAAACTGTAGGAGAAGTAGCATTTTGAAAGAATTTCACAGAAATTTCTATTTTTAGTAACCACGGCAACACCGTTCATCGAAATCAAAAACCGATACACAGAATTATGTATTTAGTGTAGTCTACTTGTGTGCCAAGTTAAATTGAAATCAGACCAAAACTGTAGGAGTACAAGCATTTTGAAAGAATTTCACAGAAATTTATATTTTTAAACCACGGCAACACCGTTCATAAAAATAAAAAACCGATACACAGAATTATGTATCTTAGTGTAGTCTACTTGTGTGCCAAGTTATATTGAAATAAACCCAAAACTGTAGGAGGAGTAGCATTTTGAAAGAATTTCACAGAAATTTCTATTTTTAGTAACCACAGCAACAACGTTCATCGAAATCAAAAACCGATACACAGAATTATGTATCTTTTTTAGTCTACTTGTGTGCCAAGTTATACTGAAATCAAAAAAAACTGTAGGAGAAGTAGCATTTTGAAAGAATTTCACAGAAATTTCTATTTTTAGTAACCACGGCAACACCGTTCATCGAAATCAAAAACCGATACACAGAATTATGTATCTTAGTGTAGTCTACTTGTGTGCCAAGTTATATTGAAATCAGACCAAAACTGTAGGAGGAGTAGCATTTTGAAAAATTGTTTACAGACGGACAGACAGACAGACGGACTATCGCATCAGCTCTTCTGGTCTCTTATTATAAATTATACAGTCAAAACGCCATAGCGCCCCACTGATTAAGGACCCACTGTCACATGTGACCGTAAAAATTCCCCCAACGTTTCCCCCAATATTCTACCTGTATTAAACGACCACCTGTCTAATGCGACCAACACCGTGATTTTCCTGACCATTTTTAGTCATTCCTAGCAATTTTACCTGAATTTAACGACTACATAATTTCCGATTCCTACTTTCGATTTCGGTCGAGCATGCTTTTTTTTCGGTTCAAAACAACTACAGACACGTTTTTACTTCATTTAATAATTATATAATGCAAGTTTTACGAATAAAACAACATTTTAAAATGAATATTTTACTTACACTTTGATATTTATTGAATAAACATAAAAATCTAAAGCATAAACATCACGTTTTTTTGTCCAGTGATCGAGCGCCATTTTGAAAATAGACGTACATTGTACGAGGTCGATCCCGATATCATTTCATGCTATAAGTGCCAAATGGACATTCAGCTTTAAAACCTGTCTGTTTAACTTTAATTAACAAGTAACAAAATCATTGATGTTTATTTAAGTGCATTGTGTCACCAATGGGTATGTAAACACACACTAGCTAGCACCCACACCATGTGATAATTAAAGTGATTTAATTAAATCACAAACAGGCAATTAGACATGGTAGTTCAGTAATGAAAAAAAATTAACTAGTTTTATTATGAAAATCATTTCCAAAGTTATATTGATTTGAAATTTTTACTAAAGTCTGTTCCTAGTTTATGGTCTTGGGGCCTGGATAAAACTTACAATGAAATTAATTATATGAGAGAAGTTATTAACTGCTTTTGTTCGAACACTGTGGAATCATCCTTGTTCATTAGCACCTATGTTGATAGATTTTGTGGGTTGTCCTCTCCCACAAACTTGTATTTCCAGGAAATGGAATATCTTGATTGCTTAGCAACATTGATGGATGTCCATAAATATGATCCCATAGTGTCTTCCATAAGATAATCCTTAACATTTGTCAATTTATTCAAGGTCTCACTCTTATCACCTTATCTTTCAGATAAGGTGTACATCAATATGGCTGAATGTGGCTATTCTTCCTCCTAGAAAATTGTTTACTCCTAGGTAAAGGGTTGCAAACTATTAATTTGCTTGATTATGATGATTATCTTGCCTTTCTCAATAAAGATGAAATACTGTAAACCATCTTTTATTCGCAAGGACTTTATTTCAAGATTTACCGGGAGTAAACTGGTTTGCGAGGATTAATTTTTGTGATCAAACCTTTTTTGGATCTGTTGTTAATAGACACAGAGCTTTTAAGGACTGGTTTGCGGCGAGAAATATTCGCAATGACGAGGCACTCGCAAACTTCGCGAAAATTTCTAGCAAGCGAATAAAAGTTGGTTTACAGTAAATAGATCGACCTCGTTCTTTGATGCAGATAATCCATTAAGACAAGAGCTACAGAACTAACTCTTTGGTAAAGATTTGGACAAGCAAACCAGATTCAAAAATACCCCGGTAATTTAAACTTCCAAGTGTTACCCAAAGCAAGCAACAATAAAGTGTAAATCAAACTAATTTTTTTATACAATACATGAATTTGCATTGCTGGTTTGCTTGTCCAAATACTCAATCAGAGTTAAAGTTCTGCAGTTAAAACCTCCGTGAACATTTCTCCCTTACATATAAGAAAGCAAATTCTATTGGATGAGACATAAATACACAATATTTAAAGAAAGTTGGGGGGTTTCCAGTTAAGATCCTTACCTGACTACAAGATTACTACAACTTCAACTTTTTAAATAATTTATTCTTAAATATTAAAAACTTGTGTTACAAATCCACCTATCACAGACAAACACATGCAATGTATAAACAGTATAAATGGTGTTCAATTAATAAGAATTCTTGTATATTTGTAGACTTGAAAACAAAATAAATTGAAAAAAATTATTTAAAAAAATCATAACAAATTTAAATACAGGTAACTTCTGACAACTGCACCTTATGGTGTTAAATCTGATATACATGTAAACCCGAGGTAATTTTCACATTGTGATGTATGTAAATACTGTTTAATACATCGTAATGTCACAATGATGGGATCTTGTTGAACCATAGCCATGTGACAGTTTATTTGATTGTTAAAGATAATAAGAAAAGATGTAAGAAAAGTAATTAAAAAAAACAGTTCAAAAAGTGTTAAATTCAGGGTCTCATAATTATCACACTTGAAAATATATTTGAACATACTTGTTTTATTAAAGCATGAGTACTGTTAATTAATTACAATTTCACAGGGTCCTAAATTTTCAGAATCCAATCCATAGGTAGGAAATATCTGGGGTTGCCAGTGTATGTCTTAAATCACTTAAGTAGGCTGTGACAATTTTGACCTTGAAGAATAGGAAAATTATATCCCATGTAAAAAATGTTTTATCTAGGGTAAACACACACCCTTCATTTTGTCATTTGGTGTAAATGTACAATTCTTATAATGTCTCTTTCTTTAAGTACATATCCTTGTATTTTTACAAAACCTTGTAAAATAATACAATTAAAATGCCATAATTAAAGAAGCAAATATAAAACAAACATGAAAAACATATCACACATTACAAGCATGTTTCTAGTGCACTTGCTGATCATCTAGATATGTGACATAAAATGCACAATTAGACACCAGTTATTTCAAAAAAGTCACACAATCAAAACACAAAAAATGTTTCATGTATTCTAAATACATGTAAATCAATCTGAATCTCATAAAACAACCTCTGTTTAAATTCTATATTTTAAAACTTACCGGTATATAAAAATGAAACTTTTGTAAACATAGACATCTACTGTAAATTTACTAATTTTTGTGGGGGTTTAATTTTCATGGTAGTCAAGGTAAGAAGAGACCCACAAATTTATGCCCACCACGAAATGCAATTTTTCACATTCATTTCTACTGAACAACTCTTCAACCACGAAATCAAATCCCCATAAACCAATATATTTCCTTCAAACCACGAAAATTGGACCCCTCAAAATTTGTGATTTCACAGTATGTCAGCTACTGCTTGTGAATACAAAAACATAAATTTTAATGAAATATTGACATCCAGATTGAATGATTAATTAACTTGAGTGATAAATCAACTAGAGTCAGCTTCCTCTTCCCCATGTAAAGCCTGGTTAAAAGATCCGGCCGTTAACTGACGTAACACCAGTCTCTTATACACTCCATTCTTAGCCAGAAGTTCATCGTGAGTCCCCATTTCTGATATTTCTCCTTTGTCTATCACAACAACCTGTAATAAAAGTTTTTTTCAGCAAGCATTCTGAGAGTTCTGGTGTAAAATGCATGTTCAATATCAATGTCGCTAACAAACCTTGGATGCGTTCCTGACTGTGGACAGGCGGTGAGCTATGACGATGACCGTTCTGCCTTTCATGGCTCGGTCCACTGCCTCCTGAACCAAGTGTTCACTCTCAGCATCCAGGGCACTCGTAGCCTACAATACCATATATAGTTCACATTTAATTCACCTGTCTCTTGCTCTGAAATATTCTATTACAAAGTTTTTTTTCAGAAGTTCAAAATATTTCAGTTCTGAAATATTTGGGATATTTCATCATTTTCTGTCCTTAAGGCCACTGTCTAGAGATGAGATTTTTACAGTTTACATGCAATTCTATTTCAAGCAATCAAACCAAGTTTTGTTACATGATTTTATCTCACCTCGTCTAGTAAGAGGAGAACAGGGTCCATAATAAGAGCCCTTGCGATGGCAATCCTCTGTTTCTGTCCCCCTGACAGCCGTACTCCTCTCTCCCCCACCAAAGTATTGTACCCGTCCTCAAACGTCGAGATAAACTCATGTGCATTGGCCTGCTTAGCTACAGTCTCTATCTGCAATAACAAGAAACTAAATCAAGGAGAACTCCTAGCTACAAATTTACACCATTATATAAGTACACACATGGATGCATGCACAACATTCAATCAAGTTTTGTTTTAAAACTTAAACCATCAAATAGATTACTGGATTTTAACTTTAACACTTACATTTTAATATGAATTTCACAAATAAAACTTTAATTGTAAGAAATAACCTCTTGATCTGTTGCCGTACATCCGTAAGCAATGTTTTCCTTGATGGAGGAAGCAAAGAGAGTCGGTTCTTGACTGACCATGGAGACTTTCTTACGGAACCATTGAGGATCTAATGTCTTCAGGTCCACATCACCTAATCAACATTCATACAGGAATTTAGTAAAAGGATCTGCTCAGTCAATATATGAAAATTTTTGCCCATCATGTTTGCGTAGATATAGAAATAGACGTCTACGACTTACATTTCTCAGTCTATCTGTTAATCAGATACATTTCAAATAGGCAAAATGTTTAACCATGTATCTGCATTGAAACAGAGGTAAAACTCACCTAACAGTATTCTGCCAGAGTCAGGGTCATAGAATCTCTCTATAAGGTTTACTATGGTAGACTTCCCCCCTCCACTGGGTCCCACTAGTGCCACCATCTCACCAGGCTCCACACTGAATGTAATGCCCTGAAAATCAACACATCATACTGACTGCTCTTAATAAAACATTAATCCAAATGTTAATCTTAATATTGTAGCTTTATTACCTTTAAAACTTTCGTTTCGGGCCTTGAAGGATAGGTGAAATAAACATTTTGGAATTCAACACCTGAAATAAAAAGAAAGAGTGGCTCTCAATTATCATTTGAGACAGAAGAAGTTATGGTTACGGTTTAACACTACGTAGGTACATACGTCCGTTCATATGATACAGGACTTCTCCGTTCTCTGTGGGTACATCAGGCACTCGGTCCAGCAAGTCAAAGATCCGTATGGAGGCCCCTACTGCCTGTAATAATCACCAAGTCAACAATAATAAACAATTTCTCTTTATTTAGGTGTAGATGCTAATTGTCAATGAAATTCCCCATACAATAATGTCATACCTGCATAAAATCCCCATAGAGAGCTGACATCAAGGCAAACGCCATGGCAACTTGTAAAGTATACAACAGAAAAGCTGCAAAAGTTAAATGGTGCAAATCATTTTCAATCATATCTGTTCAAAGAGGATCCTACACAAGTCTTAAAATCTGGATTTCTTATAGACCTTAAAAAGTAAATTTATAGAAGTAGAGTAATAATATAAGTACAGATTAACAAGTACTAACAGACTTACAGGTAAGTACACCTGGTGTAAGGCCTGTATGTTCTCCGTGTGTGTTGTCATACACCAGTTTTCCACCATACCACAGAACCATAGCTATCGCACCATAGGCTAGAATACCAACTATACCCTCAAACGCACCTGAAATGCACAAATACAGTCATGAACAGTTACACGACTAATTGCAGTGATTTTTTAAAAAAACAATTACATTGTATATTTACAAGTATTTATGTATTTACTTATTTTTCATGTGATTTTCATTGAGTGACCCTGTTTTTATCTATATACATGTAGTACATGTTATAAAGATAACTTTTTTACCAATAACAAATTGTTACTTGTCATGACTAAAATTTTGTTACAAATTGATGGTTCTAGACTATTTACCATAAGCTACAGCCAGCTTCTTCCCAACTTTGTAGCTCTTCTCCACCTCCTCACTGTATAAGCTGTACGCCTTGGATTCCCCGGCGAAGGATCGGACCGTTCTGATGCTGGAGATGTTCTCCTCAGCCAGAGTACCAGCATCAGCCAAACGATCCTGGAACTTCTGTCTCATGTTCTTCACAAACTTCCCTTAAAGTGGCAATGTAACATGTCTTAAATACTGACAATTACAATTAAAGCTGATAGAAGACATCTTGTGTAAGCCCTGTCAGGAAACAGGTGGGACATATAGTATAATTGTATTAAAACAATCACTATAATTTATGACTTTCGGTACTTACCATATTGCACAGCTACAATAGAAACAACAGGAACCACGGCCAGTAGTACACCAGTGAGAGCCGCATTCAGATAAAACATTAGAATGAGAGATCCCACCATCTGTAGTGTGTAGCGTACCAGCATAGACACATTCACCTGTCAATCAAAAATACATTTTAACATCTGTAGTGTGTACCTTACCAGACTACTTTATACACCCTTTAGTCCACTTTCCAATTTGTTTATATACCGATATGTAAATATGTTTAAATTATAGAAAATAAATTGTAAATATTTTAAGATTTCACAACAAGTATGTATCAGTCACAGTATTTGAGTATTGTTTCGCACTTACAGTGGCTGCATTCTGTACAACCTGTGTATCTGATGCCAGTCTGTTACAGAGCTCACCTGTCCTGTTAATATCAAACATGAACTGACTGTTAGTTAAAGAAGTACAATATACACGTAAATACATAAATTTTATTTTTGCACTTTTAAATACAGTAAAACTTGTTTATAATGAACACAGTATTGTGAATTTACGGTTATAGCTAAGTTATCTCGGATCCTCAAATAATAAATTTAAGAAATTCCTTATACAGATATAACAAATTACCCATATGGCAAAGTTATTTCATAGGTCCCAATGACTTGGTTATAACAGAGTTTTACTGTATTGCTGTAATTTGGGAGTTCTTGTCTTTTTTGTGAAAATTTAACTTCATACAGACAGACAGACTGTGTCCCTTTATACATATACCTGTTGGTATCAAAGAAGGCCACGTCTTGCTGGATGATGTGATCAAACAAATGTTTCCTCAGTCTAGCCACCAACCTCTGTCCCGCCAGAGTGAAAAGCCAGGCCCGAATCACCGCAAAGATGGCATACAGAACGTAAATCAACACCAGGACCACCACAGTGTTTGTAAGCTCATCTACAAAATAAACTACTGTATATATATCTGTCAATGAATACATATTTAATAACGTATCAGTCAACAAATACGGCACAAGAATTCCTTCACCACAGACACAGATGTGATAAAGTTTGTAATCACTTACAAAACAAGAGAATTATCATATAATTCATATTGTTTTCTTCAGATTACTTTTTTTGAACACTCCCAATATATACCACTTATAATTTATTACAGAATTAAATGATCATCAATGTTCTCTTTAACTTTTGAAATCATCTATAACATAAAATCAACATACCCATGCTTTTTTGAGCCGCATCTACCACTGCACCAAAGAAGAGAGGAGCTGCGGTTTGAGCCCCACTAGAGACCAGCAATCCAAGGGACCCTCCAAGGAGAATCCCCCACTCCTGTTAAAGTCAGACAAGAAGTTAAATTAAAAATGACTTTTACTGTTAAAGTCACATAAAATGGTAAAATACAGAAAAATTACACATCAACTTTTACTGATAATTCAACAATACTTTTGAGACTGTTGAACAACTCAGTGTTAATTTATCAGAGTGTCTGGTATCTAATATACAGAGATGAACAAATCTGATATTAATTCTAGAACTCACTGGTTTAGCGAGTAACACCAATCTTTTGATATCCACCTTCTTTTTGACGGGTTTTCCTTCCTTGTCGATTTCCTGACCTTTATCATTATATCTGTGTAAAATCCTCACAATCTTCAACCGTCTCATCGCACGATCACTGAATAAACTAAGTATAAACTCCAAAACACTGAAAGACACTGATGATATGACTAAAACATTGTACGTTACATGCATTGTAACATAATGTCCATCATTCAATATACAGTTCAAAATCATTCCTCCCTTTACCAAGGTGAATATGAGAGATACTAGGAAAAACAATTTTAAAGCAGTCTTTAAACCAAAACACAGTGTGTGTAGACTCCGATCATATGGACTGTGTATCTGTTCATAAGATTTATTCTCAAGAATTGGTAATACTGTCACAATTATTACTGTCTTCAGGCCAACTAAAAGGGCCAAGTCAAATACTGACTCCGTGAAATGAAAGTCTGTTATATTGTCCACAAAGTACTTGGTGTGACCACCTACAAAATTGAAAAATATAATGCCATATACATGTAAATTACACTGAAATCAGTTTTTCAATTTTATTAATTTTAAGGCACTAAAATGACCATAATATTAATATGCAATGCTATTGTAACGGAAGAGGAGAAAAATGCAGCAGACCAGGCCCATGCAGGTTCGAATCCCTGTCTGCTGCATTTTTCTCCTCTCCTGTTCCACAATTATTCATAAATGATAAATAAGTTTACCTGTCAACCACATAATACATGACAGGATTCCGTCAATAATAACGAGACTGATGAAGACGTTGGTGTATCTAAGTACAGGTAACGTGTATCTGTGTTTCCCTAGCAATGCTTTATCCTCGTCATTCTCCTCCATCTCGGAAACACTATTCACTGTACCGTTCACTTTGGCCATGGCTCTTCTTCTGTAACAATCAATTCGACAATATCATAATCATTTGGCAGGAAAGAAGTATTCATGCAGACAAGTTACACCTATATTAATGCTAACTTCGTAACAATTCTTTTTTCTTCAACCCAATCGCTTCTGTCGCGACAAACCCAGGATTTAGAACATTGCAGTGCGTCTGTACGCTTACGCAATCACACGTGAATATCGGGTACAAAACTTGCTGTTCATTCATATTCTCATAAAATATTGTACAAGAAGATATTAAATTATATTTAATATTAGATTACATTCCTTACCATGCACTCCTCCCTAAAAGTATCCTAGATAAAATCAAAATCAATGCATCTAGACCTGTCTGAATCTCAATCTTTGCGTCTGCTATTGATCGATCAATGTCACAATAACGCTTTATTTTTTTTTTTGCGGTATCATAGTATGGAGGAGCGTTTGTGCCATTCGTAAGAAAAAAAGTAGTTAAATCCAGGACATCATGACGAAAACGTGGATAACACAGAAATAAATAGATGCATGCCCGTGGTACTGAGAGATGGAGGGGTGCCCTTTTTGCCACTTTGTCAGGCATGCAGAGATCAACGGATATTTTTTTTTCGAAAAGGGGGGGGGGGCACTCAAATTAAATGACTCGGGATTAAAAAATTCTGTGAATAGGGCAGAATAGAACAAACATTTAGAAATCTCTGCAGAGATTTGACTGTATAATAGGAGTAAGTCACATTCCCCTGCTTTACTTGAGCAGGTAGTCAAAATTAGTATAAAGGAAATATATAATTATTTAATGGTATGAATTAAACATGTTCAGTAAGTATATTCCATCGATAAGTTGTATTTACAAAGATAGCATTAATCAGTTAATCATAACATGAACGAGCGTAGGATTGACACTTCTACGTTTAAACTGAATTGGTGAAATACTTGTAACATCAACTTATAAATCTGTCAGTAGCTTGCCCGGTTTAAAACATAGGTTCTTGTGGAAAGGACCCCCCTCCCGAAATTCAACCCCGGGGCTAGTCGGACATTTTTATCCTCAAAACTCAAAAATTATTTTTGGGTTTTTACGATTTTTTCCCTATTTTACACATGATGAAGTGTAATAAATATAATTTGTGAAAAAATGTCCAACTAGCCCAGGGTTGAATGTCGGGAGGGGGGTCCTGTCCACAAGCACCTGTGGTTTAAAAGTTGACCGTTTTTAGAGCATGTTCTTGATATATGTAATCAGTTGCAAGACATTTTCACCGTATGCAAGTGCTACTGGAATATTTCTACATATGATAGAAGAAGTTGGTAGAAAAGCTGAAGTCACCCCTTTTGTTTACAGTTATATACTGCTTAGTTATTAGCTGCTCATTATATAGTCTGTAGACAATAAAGCATCCGAATATAAAACAAATGTTGAAGACCTCCCAGTGTCTTTATTTTTGAGTTCAGTTGGATATATCAAGTTCTTTAAAAAAAATTATATTGAAGGCCACAGGAAGAGGCGCCCCTTTCCTTATGAAGAAGTCGTTTTTTAAATAAATTTTGCTTCTGGTCATAAGAATATAAAAGTAGGTCGGCTATTGAATGGGTACAATTAGTGCCCCTCGAAATTTAATCATACTGTCGAAATTAAAACATACTGTTCACAGATATCATAGATGAAAAATCTAAATGAAACATCAACTTCAGGGGACTTTTATGCAGAATCAGGATGATTTTGAACAAATAAGTTTAGATGACCAAGCATATAAATTAAAACTAAGTTTAAAAAGGGGCCATTTTTAATGAGAAAGATGTGGACTATGTCAAATTAAAGGCCTGCTCCTTATATATCGTCAGGATAATTTGTATTATGCACAGATAATTCATGCATTGATGCTATTAATGCTT